TATATATAAAAACTCAAATATGGTCCTTGAGTCCAAAATCTTTCCCAACCTTGGTCTACACTCATGTTGAGATTTAGGTTTTGCCTCTGGAGACCACATTAATATTAGCTAGATGGAACCAATACAAAAACCAGCGCGTTCTCTATGGGTGAAGAACAAGCAATTGCAAAGTTGTAAGAATATAGAAAATCAGACTGGGCCATTAAATAAAATAAATAAATAAAAAATACATTTTAAAAATATCTTTTCCAACCATTTGCAATGTCCTGAAGAAGAAAGAAAGCACAATGTTACTAAGTAACAGACACTTGCAGATCAAGGAAGATTATAAACATTGATGACAGAAACAAATTGAGAGCGCAGGACATGAACAAGATGTACAGATGCTCCACGAGAAGAAAACACTACCAAGAAGAATGTGAAGGCCAGGTTAGAATTTGCAGATAATTTACACAGACAACCCACAAAAATTCTAAGGCAATGTTCTATTGACTTATGAGACAAAGATTAATCATTAATTGATGTAAATGATAAAACTTTGTGAAAGAAAAAGTTGAGCTTGCATGGGTTTACTTATCATCTTGAATATAAGACGTGATGACAGCAGCAAAATGATCTTAAAAGTCTTCAGAAACATTTTACCTGCTAATTTAAAGAAAGCTACAATGAAACTGTTTTGGAAATCCTTCATCAAATGGGAAGATTAGACCCAAAACAGCAATTGGGATCATCAGGCTCAAGGCGTGGAACATTTGAGACAGGCCAGGTCAATCTCCAGACTCCCCAATGTAGTGTGAGGGAAGAGAGGATCATCCCAAACTCAACAACATACATACATAAGCTGTGGTGAAAGCCTTGCCAAGCATCATAAGATTGGGAAAAAAAAAAGATGATAGGCCTAATGTCAATAGATGACAGACTCCATACAGTTAAAGCAAGCAGGGAACTAAATACAAAAATAAATTTTACTCACTTCATTTTAAGTCTGTCTGTGCCAGTATTTGTGTGCTCACATTAAACTTAAGTGAATCCTGCGTATAAATTGCTGGAAATTAAATTTGAATTGATCTTTTCTTGTATCCTACTCATCTTTTCAGTCTACATGAAAAAATAAAGGAATTGGCCTCACTGTTCCAGTACTTTTGGAGAGGAGTGTCCACTGGATTGTATACTCGCCTAAGGATGTAACAACAGAGGAAATACAAACATAAACAAATCCAAGTGCCTGCAGCCTCTCAGGCTCGTTGCATCATGTGATGTATCGTAGAAAGGGTTCTGTCAGTCGTCATCTGTACCTGTGGGTAAAAAACAAAAAAAAAAACAAAAAAGGACGTTTCGCTTCTCTCACAGAAGCTTCGTCAGCGGTAGACAACCCTGAAGTCTCCGTGAAGACTCCGGGAACGCTAGCTGAAAGAACTAAACTGTTGCCGGAACACATTTGTGAACTGTTAGAAATATGCCTCAACACAACTTACTTCAAATTCAGGGACACGTTTTACCACCAGGTCTTTGGATGTGCCATGGGATCCCCTGTGTCTCCCATTGTGGCCAACTTGTACATGGAAGAATTTGAAAATTTGGCAATGTCTTCATACAAAGGTTCCCCACCAAGCCATTGGTTTAGATATGTGGATGACACCTTTGTCAAAATCAAAACAACGGAAGTTGAGGGATTCACCGAACACATAAATAATCTAGACGACAGCATCAAATTCACCAGAGAAGACGCAAAAGACAATGCACTGGCCTTTTTGGATTGCAAGGTCAGCTTAGAGCAGGACAGAACTCTTAAGGTTGAGGTCTACAGAAAACCCACGCACACAGATCAGTATTTGCATTTCAACTCCAATCACCCACTGCAACACAAGCGAGGTTGAATTAGAACACTTGAACACAGCGAGCCAAATCTCCACCAACACCAAGTCAAGAGAGAGTGAGGTCAAACACATTGAGAGGGCACTGTCAGGGTGTAGCTACCCTAAATGGCCTTTGGCAAAGTTAGGAAAATTAAAACAAACAGAGAGGAAACCAACCAACAGAGAGAAAAGAAGAGAAGGGGTGTCTGTGTACCTTATATTGCCGGCCTCTCAGAGAAAATACAAAGAATATTTCTACAACATGACATTCCTGTTTATTTTAAACCGATAAACACA